GGGTAGAAAAGAACTGAACTTTTCCTCTTGCTTTCTAGCTGGGTAGAAAAGAACTGAAGTTTTCCTCTTACTTTCTAGCGGGGTAGAAAAGAAGTGAACTTTTCCTCTTGCTTCCTGGCGGGGTGGAAAAGAACTGAACTTTTCCTCTTGCTTCCTTGCGGGGTACATGTAGAAAAGGACCCCTGCTCTAAGGTCACATAGGGGGTTGATGTTATCCTCCTTTATCCCTAAAATTTCTTATGTACGAATAATAGAAATATTGAAGAAAGAACCCTTTTTAAACACTTCCCTCCATATTTATGCAGACCAATATGGATATTATAATCTAGATCTTCACAACAATTTTCAATTATTTGTAGCCTACCTGCTTGACAGAAATTTGTTTACAAGTATACTCTTCACAACTGATTTTACTGCTACATGCTGATCAAGACAAAAGGCATGATTCGAGTGATTGATTGATGACTGTCAGTCTATTGGCAATTAACCTATCAGGCCTTTGGGTCTCAATCAGCTTAATTTCATACCTCAATAAAAACAGCTGTGGTAAATGCTGGGTTGGCATGATCGTACCTTTAAGAAATCAACYTTGGCTTGTAAATGTTGCACCACAGAATAATGTCTGTTTAGTAATTCTGTCAACTCATCAGGATCAGGAATGAATCCAGATGGATCTCCAGGTAGGTTTTGTGAGGTTGCAGGTACATGTAATGGTTCTTTTTGCTTGAAGACACAATCAGTATATGTTATTAATATATTTCAAATTTATTATAAGTATCATTAATGGCGATACAAAATCCATCATTGTTTTCATGGTTGTAATTTTATCGCTCTTTTTTTCAGACACAATCTGCAGAACTGTAGAGGTGAAAATTAAGAAGGTCTTCGTGATTCCATAATAACATTGACAACAATATTACAAAGTTTTGAAGGATATATACACCATCAAAGCTTCTCAAATGTCAAATCGTTTGGCATTTGGAAACAAGTCCCATAACCCACACAATAGTATTGTTCCAAGATCTAATGATCGCTGTCAAAAGTATAGACCACTTAGRCTCAAGCGTAATGTTTTCCCATTTCAGACCATATGTGTCAGTAGCCTCCCGTGCAGATGTTTTCAGTGTCGGCTCATTCTTTCCCCTCCCCACAGTTGCAAATGAGAAAAACACATGAATACGGATACAACTCAAACAAAGAATCTTATTCTCAAGAGAATGACAAGTGGTCTGAAATGGGAAAACATTATGCAGGAGCCAAAGGAGGTCTATTGCTAGCGACCTTAACAGGAAGGAAATTTTGAGCAAAAATTAAAAATTACAACAAAGCCATTTGCCTGAAATTGCCCTGGCTGCCCAAAATACGTTTTATAGCAATTATCATATGTCGGAATCAATCCATGTCAAACACCCTGAACTTAAAGATTGAGCTGTCAATCAATCATTAACAATGAAACTTTCACTAAGCAAAAAAAAGTATTAAAAATCATAATATCAAAAAGCAAATAAAAATTAAAGCAGAATACAAATATTTTACCTGATAATGGTTGTATCTGTGAAGAAGGTGTTTAAGGCGAGAAACTAAAATACAAAATAAGATCGTTTTAAAATCATTAAATGTAGCTTGTAGATTTGTTCGCATTAATGTTTTATCTACCTGCTTTAGAGTARCTGTCGTCGTTTGTTGGCGAGCTCACCGGTGAATCAAGTGCATAACGCAGATAATCAAGGCTTTCTGATGCTTTATCTGCAATAGAAAAAGGGAAAAACTGTTTAGTTTTATACCAAGTCATACACTGCAAAGCGTCACTTGACAAGCAGTGATTTGAACGAGGTTAAGTAGAAAATCTACACTCACTATGAACAGTTTTTCGATTATTCGTAACTGAATCATCTAGATCAACCATTCCACTACTAAAAACCTAGCTTATCTTAACCCCAGGGTAGCGAGAAGGGGAGAAAATTGGGATTAAAATCACAACAACAAACACAAAACTTCCTTCTTTGAAAATTATAAAAAAACGTGCGCAAATGGATCAGCGGTAATTTAGTTCCCATTCTCTCTCGACGTTTCTGATCCAAGATGGCAACATTAAAAGCGATTCGTGCAAAGTTTCCAGGTTTAAAAAACGTTTTTGTGGGTGTCTTAGTAGGCGCTGGGTTGACGAAAATATACTACGAGACGACAGGGAAGACTAAAGATGACAGCTCRGGAAATCAGGAGGAAATCGAGAAAATTATCGAGAAAAACGAGAACTTGAAATCAGGGAAGGCGTTTCGTACGATTGATTTGAATGAGGAAAGAGATTTGGTCGATTCTTCGCCTGCGAACGAATTTTGTAAATACGGAGCGCCACATAGTCCGGTGATGTTACTCAAGTACCTAAATCACTGGGTTTGTTATGATCAAGCCAAAAAGATCCCGATTTGGGTAGCTGAGCATCTGACACGAGATAAGCTGAAGGGAACAGCTGATCGAGATCAGGCGAACTTTACTGAGGATCTGARTCTTCCAGCTGTGTTTCAAGCTCATAATAAAGACTATCTGAGAAGTGGATGGMATAGAGGACACATGGCGCCAGCTGGTGAGGAAGAGGGAAGGGGTAGGGTATTGGAAGAAAGGGGAAATCGAACGAATGAAAGAGAGTGTGAGAAATTATTGAAATTGGTACCCCTTTCGTTTAGTGCAGGCTGGAGTAAGTCGTTATTCATTGCATGACTGATACTTAGCCTTTACGGAATTGAAGGACGCGYTTAATCATCTTCTTTATAATACTGACTTGTATAGCGTCTTTTTCACTTGCTCATAGTGAAGCATCAATTTTCAAATTACTTTCGATTCTCGATGCATAAAATGTCAACCGACTCAGGGGCGGATCCAGGATTTTATCACTGGTCAGCGGTCGAGGAAGGAGGATGTCGATTCCCGCGCTCTTCAAATTTAGTGTTTTGGTTTTCTAAATTTGATATTTTCTTTAGCTTTTTTTTGTTTAATTACTTTTCTGATGGATCAAGAATCTATAAACACATTTTCTAAGTTACTTGATGAGAAATTAAGCCCAATAATTAGCGACCTTCGCGAACTTAAAGCGAAAGTCTCAAAGTTAGAAGAATTTGAGTGTTATCTATACCAACTTATGAAATGATAATCTTAATAGATCAAAATTTTGTTAATTACTAAAAATTTTCTTTTTTCTATTTATTGTAACAATCTAAA